AGTCCAAAACGCCGACATGAAACGAGTGTCGCGGTCGCTGACAATGTCTTCTGGTACACCGTGGCCACAAATCCAACCAGTGTGCAGGAGGCGTGTTGGCTCGGGAGCCGTAGAGACTTGCAAGGGAGAAAACGCACGTACTTACTCAATCGGTCCACAACCGTGAGGATGCCGTCGTGCCCGAGCCGGTTGCGAGGAAACGGACCGGTGACGTCCATGGCAATGGAGAGACCGGGTTCCGGTGAGATTTGCATCGGGTGTAAATCGTCGTAGGGATTGCGGTTGCGGGGCTTGCTGCGTCGGCAAACTTCGCAAGAGTCGCAATACCGAGTGACATCGGTAATGAGGTCAGGCCATCGGAATCGCTGTCGAAGCCGTGCAATAGTGCGGTTGACTCCGAAATGGCCGGCGAGTCGTGAATCATGATACTCGCCGGGGAGGCGAGTCCGAAGACGACGGTCGCGTGGGACACATAGTAAGTCCTTGCCTCTCGASTGGAGGAGCAAGTACCCGTCGGCAATGCGGGAATGGCTGGCCGGCGGGTGATCCGAAGATAGTTGTGCATAGAGCGTGCCGAAGTCCGGATCAGACTGATATGCCCGGATGAAGTTTCGCTGAAGCTCCTCGTCGAATGCGAACGCATGATGTGTCATAGCGCAAAGATCTGGTCTTCGCGAGAGTGCATCTGCTGCGCGATTTGAGAGGCCGGGTAGATGTTTCGGTGTGAAGTCAAACTGGTCGATGAAGTACATCCATCGTCCGATCGTGCTGCTCATCGTATCCTGCGTCTTGTAGTAGGTCGATGGATTGTTGTCTGTGACCCATGTGAACCTACGACGCCCAAGGAGGAAGTGCCGCCATCACTTGAGAGGCATGACGAACGGGAGTAGCTCCTTCTTCCTTGCATCATCAAGCGAGTTGATGGGAGGCACTTTGTGGCTGAAATACTCCACAGGGTGCCAGTGGTCGCCGTCATGTTGTTCCAAGACTGCCCCAATGCCATAGCCGGAAGCGTCCGTAGTCACTCTCGTCGGCAAGGTGGGGTCATAGATGTTGAGGACGGGTGCCATGAGCATGGCCGTCTTAAGTGCTTGGAATGACCGGCGTGCGTCGTCATCGAATACAAATGGCACCTTTGGCGACTGTAACCTCGTCATAGGTGCAGCAATCCTGGAGTATCCAGTGATGAATCGCTGATAGTAGCCCGTCCGTGGTGTTGGTGGGCTTGGGCCATACTCGTAGGGCCTCGATCTTGTCTGCAAGCGGACGGATCCCTTGCGGCGTCACATAATGGCCCAAGTACTCCAGCTCCTGCCGCGCAAATTCACACTTGTCGCGGTTGGCTTTGTACTTGGCCTGTCGTAGCCGCTCCGAAACGGTGCGCAGGTGTTCCACATGCTCCTCCAAACTCCGGCTGTACACCAGGATGTCGTCGAGATAGATAAGTACGTACAGATTCAGCATGTGTCGGAACTCCGTTGTCATAGCCGCTTGGAAAGTGGTCGGGGCATCCGTAAGGCCAAATGGCATAACCAGCCATTCGATATGCCCATACCGTGTCTTGAACGCGGTCTTGTAGCGATCCTCCTTGCGAATCTCTAGTTGGTGGTACCCTGACTTGAGATCCAGCTTGGAGAAGAACTGGGCGCCGCACAATCGCTCGAGAAGATCATCGATGCGTGGGAGAGGGCCGGCGTTCCCAATCGTCTGCGCGTTGAGCTTGCGATAATCGATGCACAACCGCAGGTCCTTGTTCTTCTTCCAGACGAAGAGAACAGGAGCACCGTATGGCGATGAGCTAGGCCGAATCCAGCCTTTCTCCAGAACGTCGTCGAGTTGTGCCCGAAGCACACTTAACTCTTCCTCGCTCATTCGGTAGATGCAACCGCGTGGAGGTACGGCCCCGTCCTCGAGGATGATCTCGTGGCGGATGGGTCGATCCGGTACTACTCCGTGCGGGCCTTCGAACACGTCGCTGTAGGCGTCGAGAAGTTCGATGATGCGTGGATCCGCAGATGAGTCCGTCGATGAAGCGTCATGGGGCGGGAGGGCGTGGAGAAAACACACCCCCATCTCCTCGATGTTGTCTCTGATGATGGAGGCTCGCATGCTTGCGGCGGATACCATGTGGCAGCTGATCGAAGGATGAGGAAGAGGCACCGTGCATGGAACTAATACTCCGTTCCGATCACGAACGTGAACGGTGTGGTTGAAGAAGTTCACCGGGTGATCCTTGCTTCGCAGCCATGACCTGCCCAAGATCATGTCGAATTTGGTGTCCAGAATGTCAAAGGACACCGCCTCACTTGCGTGAGGGGCAAAGTACACTGGGACGTTGTCAATGCACCGGTCGATTGACTTGTGCGTGTGACCGTCCGCCAACGTGACTTGCATAGGCTGGGACTTCCTCCGGACCCGTGGGCCAACGCCGGCTCGCACCATGAAGTCCTGGCTGATGTAGTTGCGAGATGCTCCGCAATCGATCAAAACGTTGCAGGTCGCTTCTCCGATCTGAATGCGTACATATAGCAATGGTGCGTCGATGTCGTCGTACCGTTGCGTCTTGAACTCGCAGCCGATCTTCGCAATGTAGACGTGAAGGTCGACAACCTCTTCTCCGGCGTCCATCAACCGAGTCGGTACTGCAGTGTGCAAGTAATCCCGCAATCGTGCCATGAGCACATTGCAATGCGGTTTCGGCAATCGTCCGGTCGGGGGAACGGGCATCCACTGGAAGTCCGTGAACGTCAGTGGGTCGAGCACCTCGAGTCTTGACCACGACGATGAATCCCCGGCGATAGATGGCGGCGAAGCTGCCGAATCGGTTGCCGATGGTGATGAAACCGTGCATGCGGTAGATTGTTGCACGTGGAGCGGTTGGTCCAGCGGTGGAACCAAGTGGACAGCATAATCCTCGTAAGTATACCGAGGACTTGCGACATTCGCATCCTCCCCAGATGTGCAAGAGGCCGCTAGCAAGGCGGCCGAATCTGGTGGAGTAGAAGGTGGAGTCGCCTCACCTTCCGTGGAGCTCAGTTTCCCGAGCTGCGGCTGGGTCGCACATCCTCCTTGCCCTGATCTTGGCACAGGGAGGTCTTGTGCTTGGTGCTGTTGCACCAATAGCAGTTGCCGTAGCGGCCGCGGACCTTGTACTCCGCCTCGGTCAAACCAAACTTGACCCATGGAAACTGTCCTGGCTGTCCATTTCCGGCCTGCAATGCGGATTTCGCCTTCCCATTGTTGCGGGACTTGTTGGTGCTTCGCGGCTGGACAACAGCCACCTGATCTCCGTCACTTGATGCTGGACTGGCTGCTGGGTTATCTCCATTGTCCTGCTGGACTGCAGCGAAGTGCTGCTGTCGCGGACCAGTTCGTACCTTCTCCACATAGGTCGGCTGCCATGATGTTGATTTCTCGTGTGCAGCTGACCTGTTGGTCTCGATGATCTCCCTCGCTTTGTCAATGATCTCCGCGAAGGTTGAGTACTGCTCGCGATCACCAAGAGCCTGGCTCCATGCAGCACAGGACCTGTTGTAGAACTCACGGCGTAGATGCTCAAATGGTAAGTTCAGATTGGGCACAGCCGCAATCTTCTGCCACTCCGTGAGCCAGTCCCGTGTTGCTGTGTTGCCCTGTGACATGGTGAACAGTCGGTTGATGGCGAGTGCTGGCGCGTCGTCGACGATGAACCGATTCTTCCTCAACCGTGTCAGTTCTTCCCATATGATCTTGTCCTTGAGGTCCGGTACATCGACGCCGTGGGAGGTTGCCAGGTGGGTCAACCAGGTCTGGCATCCGCCCTTTGAGTTCAGGAACAGGGCACCGATGTACTTGTGCTTAGCGACAGGCAAAATCTTGAGTTGCGTCGTGAATGCCTCCCACCAGAGGGTCGGATCCTACTGCGTGTAGTCGTCGAACTTTTCCAGTTGGAAAGTTGGCATCTTCTGATTGCCATCTGCGTTCGTCGACTGCAGCTGTTGGACCTCGGTCTTCAAGGTATGCAGCTGAGTGTTGATGGTACGGCGCAGCGAAGGTGTTAATGTCGCCGAGCATTGCCAGGATGTGGTCAACGCGTTCCTCCAGTTGGCGGCTAGAGGGTGCACTACTGGAAGCCCCAGCAGTTGGTCCTGGTACAGCCTGTTCCAGGTCCAGCAATCGGGCATTGAGTGCCCGAGTTGCATCCTCGTGGCTCTGCACTGTGCGGCGGAGCGTCGCCAACTCCTGATGCTGTTGCGTCAGGTCCTGGTACTGTCTCTCCAACTCTGACCGTTGGTAGTTGCAAGCATACAGCAACCGTGTCATGAGTTTGGAGAGGAACTCCTTATGCTGCTCTTCCGGTGTTGCCTCGTCGCCGTTCGGTTCAAACAGCCAGAACTTGAGTCTGTCGATGCTTGTGGCTTCATGCCGCTGTAGCAGATCCTGGGCTT